CCTCCTCCTCCTCCTCCTCCTCCTCCTCCTCTTCCTGGTCGTCCTCCTCCTCCTGGTCGTCCTCCTCCTCGTGCTCGTCCTCCTCCTCCTCCTGCTCGTCCTTCTTCTCCTGCTCCTCCTGCTCCTCGTCCTGCTCCTGCTCGTCCTCGTCCTCCTGGTCTTGCTCGTCCTCCTCCTCGTCGTGCTCTTGCCCCTGCTGAAAATGTGGCCCAGGAGTGGGAGTTCTGGGAAGTCGAAGAGCACGAAGTTGCCTACAGTGGGCTACGGGCATTCAAAATGTGGCCCGGGAATGGAGTTCTGGGAACTCGAAGAGCACGAAGTGGCCTACAGTTGGCTCCGGGCATTCAAAATGTGGCCCGGGAATGGAGTTCTGGGAACTCGAAGAGCACGAAGTGGCCTACAGTTGGCTCCGGGCATTCAAAATGTGGCCCGGGAATGGAGTTCTGGGAAACTCGAAGAGCACGAAGTGTGTGACTGTTGCATCCGGTTATTCTAAATGTGGCCCGGGAATGGCGTTCTGGGATGTCGAAGAGCACGAAGTGTGTGACTGTTGCATCCGGTTATTCTAAATGTGGCCCGGGAATGGCGTTCTGGGATCTCGAAGAGCACGAAGTGTGTGACTGTTGCATCCGGGTATTGAGAATGTGGCCTGGGAATGGAGTTCTGGGAAGTCGAAGAGCACGAAGTGTGTGACTGTTGGTGAAAAACGAGCCCGGCACCCTGCCGCCCGGCAACTCCCCAACACCTGCCCGGACCCCCCTGTGGTATCAGTCTTCGCTGTTAGGTAAAAATCATTCCTCCCCCACTCCTGCGCACATGCGTGCAAGCGCATCGGGCAAACGCGGTGTCAGCAAGCACCAGGGATATCAGAAAAATGAGCCGATCACCCGTCCAGGCCTCGAGGTCCCCCCTTCTGAAGCAAACGATGATGTATTGTTCTGCCGGGGATGCGGCCCGGAAAAGGCGCATGGCGCGAAGCGCCAGCGCAGTCTTGCACTTAAATAAATAGCTATATATACACAACCACATAAACATACTTATATAGAAACGTCCCACCGCGTATGAATGATCCAGGCATCTGATCCAGGGTCTGGCCCCCACACCCCTTCATGATGATGCCATCGCCCCCTCCCCCCGAGCGATGCTCCCCCCCTTGTGGGCGTGGCGTGGTGGGCTCGTCCCCTGTGGTTTCGAAAGGTTCCCAGCTGGTCCTCTGGACGCTGTGCCTGCCCAAAACGAGCTCCCCAACCCTCAGATGCGTTCAAAAGGACTGCGATTTGCCGGAGGATCGGTCCAAGACGCCCAAGATGGTCTTCTGACGGCCCAAGAAGCCTCCAAGAGCACTCCCAAGAGAGCCGCAAGAGGTGCAACACATTGATAGTTCGTGTGTGTTTGACGGATTTTGACGTTTCCGCCTTTTGAGGTTCCCGACGGTCCACGACGGCCCGAGAGGCTCACAAGATCGCCCAAGAACGGCCCAAAAAGGCCCCCAAGAGTCCCGAGACGGCCCCAGAGGCCCCCAGCAGCCCAAAGAGGCTTACGAGACGGCTCAAGAGGGATGCCAGAGGGGAAACACGAACCCTTCTGCTCTCCTCTTCCTCCTGTAGTTGAGAGAGAGAGAGAGAGAGACAAAAAAAAGCAAAACAAAAAAAACGCACAAACATAAACTGCTGGCGCTCCGCGCGGATTTCTTGGAGCTGCGCTGGGCGCCCCCTCCCCCCCCCGGCGATGCCTCCGGCGCCGCCCCTGGCGCGTTCCGCGCGATCCAACAAATCCGCGCGGAGTGCCAGCAGTTTATGTTCATGCCGCGTCTTCTTGTTCGATATGGGGCGACGAGATTCACATGTATCCACCGCCGCTGGCCCCCGGAGCCGTGTCGGCGCCCCGTGGCC